TTTTGTTCTTCAGTCTAGTTGTGGAGGACTTCGCTTCACTGGTCCATGTTGGTATTGTGATCATTGTGCTCTTCCTGGCTGAGGCAGATTGGTTGCCAGACCTTGGACAGCCACCCACGGCAGCTCACAGCAGCTCACGCTGGCTGCAGGCCACTCACGGTGGCCTACGGCAGCCCACTGCAGCAGGGGCTGCAGCCTATGCCATCGCCAGCGACTCTTGGCAGCCCAGCTCCAAGTCGAGCTGTTGTTCACCACCATCTTAGCTGTAGAGGGTGCAGCGTCACTGGCCTTCATGTGGGATCTGAACTGAGGCTCTGCTGCTCAGAGCTGGCGCTCCCAAGCCAACTCTTAAGCAGCACGCTACTCAGCCAGTCCTCGACAATTACTTTAAATGTAAATGGATTAAATGTTCCAATCAAAAGACATTGTGTGGCGGAATGGAAAAGAAAACAAGACTCCAGTAAAGGAGAGGGTACTCATGACCCAGCCATTTAAGGGAAGACAATGTGGCCATTGAACGTGACATTGAACACATATGGTAGTAGTATCACCCACTCTTACAATAATGTAATCTGCATGTGTATGCACATCAGAGAGAGAGCTCATGCTAAAATATAAGCAGTGACTACTCCTGGGTGAGGGCTTACAGGAGATGCTAATTTTCTTTTTAGACTTTCTAGAATTCTCTGGCTTTTTATTGGTTTATAAATGGGGGAAAAGTTCTTTTTAAAAAACCTATCAAGGTTATTAAAAATCTCAATAAAGATTGGCTAACACAAGAAAAAACAAGAAAAAAAAAAGATTGGATAACATCACATGCACCCACACAAAAAAACAAAACCCTTACATATGCTGCCTACAACAGACTCACTTCAGATCAAAAGAAACAGACTGAAAGTAAAGGGATGGAAATTGGTATTTCATAAAAATGGAAATGAAAAAAAATGCTGGGGTAGTAATACTTAGACTAGACAAAACAGACTTTAAAACAAAGGCTGTAATAGGAGACAAAGAAGGACCCAGCAATTCCATTTCAGGTATTTATCTGAAGAAACCCCAAACACTAATTTGAAAAGACATATGCATCCATATGTTCATTGCAGCATTATTTACAACCGCCAAGATATGGAAGCAACCTAAGTGTCCATCAATAGATGAATGGATTAAGACGATGTGGTACATATACAACAGAATATTACTCAGCTGTACAAAAGAATGAAATCTTGCCATCTGCAACAACATGGATGGACCTAGAAGGTATTATGCTAAGTGAAACAGGTCAGATAGAGGAAGACAAATACCATATATTTCACTTATATGTGCAATCTAAACAAAATAAACAAACAACAGAAACAAACTCAGAACATTTTGATGGTTGCCAGATGGGAAGGGGTTGAGAGGATGGGTGAAAGCGGGGAAGAGATTAAGAAGTACAAGTTGGTAGTTGCAAAATAGTCATGGGGATGTAAAGTATGGCATAGGGAATATAGTCAATAATATTGTAATAACTGTGGTGTCAGGTGGGTACTAGATTTTTCAGGATGATCACTTTTTTTTAAAGGTTTTTTTTTTTTTATTGGGGACTGGGGGAAGGGGAACAGGCAAGTTGCTGTTGTTTTGTTCTTCAGTCTAGTTGTGGAGGACGTTGCTTCACTGGCCCAAGCTGGCACCATCATTGCGCTCTTCCCGGGCAAGGCAGATCAGCCGCCGGCCTCTGGATGGCTGCTTACAGCGGCTGCTGGCTACACATGGTAGCTTATGGCAGCCCACTGCAGCAGGGGACTGCAGCCTACGCCGTTGCCGGCGACCCATGCCAGCCCAGCTCCAGGACGAGCTGTTGTTTAGCATCTTAGCTGTAGAGGGCAGTGTCACTGGCCCTCATATGTGGGATCCGAACCAGGGCCCCCTGGCATCCCAAGCCAGTTCCTAACCAACACGTCACTCGGCCGGCCCAGGGTAATCACTTTTTAAGGTATATAAATGTCTAATCATTATGTGGTACACCTGAAACTAATATAATATTGTGTGTCAATTGAAAAGTAAACATTTTTTAAAAAAATAAATGGAAAAAAATAAAAAATACTAATCATAAAATTTTTTTAATAAGATGCCTAAGTGGCATTCTAAGACTGTGTAAAGGTGACCTTGAAAGTAGTTTTTGGTTTTTTTCGAACAAAATAATAAATGCCTTGGGGGGATAACTGTCACACATTCTTTGAGACAGACTAGCCAACAATTTGCAATCCCATCTGCCATTCAACATGCTGTATAGCTCTCCAGTAAAGACTCCTTATACCGAAACAGGTAGTTCCAGGTTAGTACAAGTGTGGGAGGAGAGGGTTGTGTCAGCATGAGTAAAGCCTTGATGAGCTTTATTAACAAAAGGGATTCATTTCTCCTAAGCTTGTAGCATCTTCAGAAATCAAAAGTTGTATGAAGTATACTAGAAAGGAAGAATTTGTTCGTGAGTGAACTTTGGAAGTATTCCTAAAATGAACTCAAGTCTGTTGCTATTTCTTTTCCTCCTTGACTAGAAATTCATGTTCCATAGAAAGTGGACCTTTAAGAAAGTTGCTATAACATGGAGGCTAGTCTTGATTTACTTCTATTCAAGAAACATTTCTTTTAGTACCTATAATGTGCCCCATGTCACATCAGACAATGTTTATACACAAATGAATGTTTCATAGTACTTGTCTGTCTTACTGTCTGTTGGAGATGAGGACATAAACAAATAGTTACAGCATTATGTCATTTATGCTGTAACAGGCGTTTACAAGGTGCTAGGAGGGGCCAGGGGTGGAGGGAGGGAGGAGACAGTCGTGTTTAAGTGGAGGCTTCAAAGGTGTGTTGTAGTTCACTATGTGGATGAGGTCAAGAAGGGTCTGTGTAGCAAAGAGAAAGAAATGATGGTATGAAAAGTACGTCATGTATGGGAACTTCAGGAAGCTCACACGGGCAGTGGGAAGCCATTGACAGCTTTTGAACAAGAGAGCGACAAAGTGGTGCCTCTGAAAACTCCTCCTGGCAATGTCATGGAGGACTAGACTGGAGAAGGGGAGAGTTTGAAAGTAGAAACACCAGTCAGGGGGCTCCTGCGGGGTTTTCGAACCAGACATGAGGGGAGATTGAACTAAGGCAGGGTGATGAGGTTGCAACCAGGCGGATATGATGACTAGTTGCTAGTAAAGCAGAAATGACAGGACCTGGGGTGGGAAGAAGTAAAGGAGGGGGAAGTGTGAGGCATGCTTCCCAGGCTGGGCTGGCTTCAAAGGCATGAGATCTGCCCATTCTCTCAGGACAACACCCCCGCCCCGCCCCCACCACTATGGGTCCCAGGCTTGGTTTAATGCTCTACTGCCACCATCTTGAAATCATTAATTTTGAACAATGGGCCCCACATGCTCAATTTCATTTTGTACTGGGTCCTGCAAATCCTATAGCCAGTCCTGTTCCCAGGTTTCTGTCTTGAGCTAAGGGGTGAGTCATGGTGCAAATAATTGAAATTGAAAACAGAAGTACACACTTTGTTCCATGAGGGGTGGCTGAAGAGATGAGTTCAATTTCGTAACACATGTCCTATGGGTTATCAAAGTAGGGATATTCACTAGGCTGTTAGAAATTGAATGTAAATTCCAAGCAAGGTACAAGCTAGAGTTATACATGTGGGGAGAGCTGAGGCCAAGGTCGTGGAGACCCTGGATGTGGATAAAAGTGGCTAGAGGGAAAAGAAGCTGGAGACAGAACCTTCAGAACCACCAGCATTTAAGGGATCAGAGAAGGGAAAGAGAATAAATGTAAGAGGAGGAGTCAGAGTGCTCTGGGAAAACTTCCGAGGGAATTGTGTCCTAGAAGCCAAGGAAAAAGGAGTCTCAAGAGGGAGGTGAAACATGATGCAAAGAGTCAAATAGGGAAAATGCCCATCACGTTTGGTAACTAGACGGTTGCTGTGGAGGGTTACTGAGGCCATGGAGAGAGGTGGAAGTCATAATAGGATAAAGGAGAAAGCAGAAGTGAACAGTAGGTGCAAACTATCCTTTCAAGAACCTGGGCTATGAAGGCAAAGAGAGGAAAGGAGCAGAGTAGAAGGTGTGTAGAATAAAGGCAGGTTTTGGGTGTTTTTTTCCCCCCTTAAGATGGGAGAATGGAGCAGGTTTGTACGTGAGAGCACTGCTTTTAGGACGTGAAATGCGGGCATATGCTCCCAGGACAGAAGTACAAAAGGTAAAGGTGGGAATGAAAATAGACAAATTAATAGAGTGGTGAATGTTATACACGTGCCCCATCGCACATATACATGCAAAACAACAACAAACAACAACAAATCTCTAATTTTCTTAGTAATGTTAAGTTTACTACTGAGTGAGGTGGCCAGGGGAGCATTGGGGCTTTCAAAGAGCATTGACGGTAAGTAATGCTGTGCCCTCTGGAGAGGACACTGACCAGGGACAGGTGTAACTGTTAAGTAGCAGGTAGGGCTCAGCTGCTGTGAGAGAAGAGGCCAGTCTCAGCAGAGGCAGAATGGAACAATGCTTGCAATTTATATGGATGAAAAACTGTAATAAGCAACTCTGGCCCACAGTATTAAAAAACTTGACAAAGAGAAGAGAAATTTGCCTTTTAATAGTTTTCTTTTAATTAAGATCTGAAGACCCTCCATTGCAACATTAGACCCTCATAATAGCACCAGCTTTCTCAGTGCTCTCAGGGCTGCTCAGCTAGCACCTACCACCCTGAGCGTCAGTTAGAGTCTGCAACTGGCAAATGCTGATTTGGTGAATAATTAATGCATCGTGAAGACCTGAGGCTCCTGCCTCCCTGAAAGCATGTTTATAAACTTATAAAGCAGCTTACTCTATAATCTAATGATTAAACTTTCCCAGGACCTATTTCATTACAGCTAAGTTAAAAACTGACCAACTGGCCGCTTAAACCTCCTCCCTGGGGTGATTAATTTAAAAACAAGCACAATCTCCTGACCGGACTAACAACTATTGTAACTAAACTCCCCTCATTCCAGGCTCTTTAGCTCAGAGCAGGACTCAAAAAAGTTCCAGCCTTGACTCTACCCCTTGCTAAAGCAGCAGAACTAGGCAAATTCACAGAAAGGGTAAGAGTCCTCCCAACCCGCCTCTCTTTCCTCTCCAACCCCGAGACGGGTGAGCTTACTTTTCCCCTTATTCAACCAGGCAGGTCACACACTGCCGTTTGAGACCCCTCATTAGAGGCCGTGTCCCCCATCTCATCATTTGCTTATGTACCGTAAATTTTCTCCCTAGAATTGCGGATGTGGTGTTTTGTGGAGACTGTGGGAAGTGCGTCTCATGAGAGACCTCCAGCTTCGTGGCTGAGTCAACTCTGTCAAGGTGAGAAGGTGAAAAGGCGTCTCTTAACAAGTGTCATTCGAGAAATTCTCTGCATTAGAACCATCGTCTAGATTTAGGTAAGGCGTAGATTTTTAAACAACACCATCAGATGGTAATGCGTTGCGGTAGCCACCTGGGCAGGTCCTGGATAAAAGAGTGCGCAAAGGAAGCATAGTGAAGAGCAGTTAGTTTCCTTCCTTCTGACGAAGGCATGTTTAAGTGGAGCGACTAGCCCTAGCCCAAGCTCAGAGGTACCGGAGGGTTCAATTCTTTCTCAGAAACAAGCCCGACAGGTCGACCCTCTTTCTAAAGGGTTAACACTCCTTGCTGGAGTGCAAAGTGCTAAAGTTTGTAGCCTTGGGCACCTTTTCGTGACTCACTCCTTACAAATGTAAACTGAACGAGTGCGCGGGAGGTCCCGACCAGTACCCCCACGCCTGGCGTTCTGAACACCCTCCTCCACTACCAGCCCGAACGCAGCCTCCCCGCCCCCACCCCCGCCCCCCAACACCACTCGGGAAGCGCACCGGGTGGTAGCGCCGCAGCCCTTCGCTGGGAACTGAAAGAGGCCAAATCCCGCAGCAACTGCAGATGCAGCCTTAAAACAAAGGCGACCCCGGAGGGTGGGACCGGGACCTCACCCCGTCCTGGCCAACTTGTGGCCTCCCCCGCCCGCCCCTTCGACCCGGGCTCTCCGAATGCGCATGAGCAGAGGCGTCTCCCTTGGATCCTCCCAAGGCTAAACTTTCTAATTCCCTTCTTTGGCTCGGGGTTGCTGGCCGCTGGGAGAGCGCTCGCACCGCCGGGTGAGCTGAACAAAGTGGCTGCGCGATTTTCCCCTCCCCACCCTCCCACCCTCCGCTTCCGTGGGAGCGGCAGGAAATGGAAGGGCCCCTCTCCTCTCTCTGAACATTTACCTTCCCCCCTACCCCCCATCTCTCCAGAAAGGAACACGGGAAAACAGGGCAGGCGGCTCGGTGATCACTCCTGTGCGGTGCCCTCTCGGCTGCAGGGACTGGACATGGGGCTGCTCCAGGTGTTCGCTTTCAGTGTCTTAGGTAATTGAGGAAACGGTGGGAGAAGGGGGTGGGCTTGGATGTGGGAGAAGAAAACCCCAAAGCCGTTTGACCCTGCTTGGAGGGCACCTGGGGGATCGGGAGAGGGGCTGGGTGGAAATTACGCCCTGGGATTAAACGCTGGCGCCCTCGGTAGCGGCTGAAGACGGCGCGCTTGGATCGTCCCGGACCCGCATCCCGGGGGCTCTGTGCCCAGAGCTCCGGATCCCGCAGGCTCCCGCGGCCGCCGCGCGGGTCTTTGCACATTCAGCCGGTTCAAGCAGGGGCTCTCCACTGCGGGGGGCAGGCTCCCTGGGGTCGAGGGGCTCACCGTAGAGCTCCTTTCCCAGGGAAGTGCCCGAGCTGAGCGCAGGCTTCGTCCTGGGAACAGATTGGGGCCATGTGGCTTTAATTAACCAGCGCTGTTTGCCCCCGGATGGCGCCAGAACAGCTGGACCCGGAGCTTCCCTGGAATGGCGAAGCGTTGAAACCTCTCCAAAGTCTCAGGGATTGTGCGCTCACCCCTTGCTTGGGAAAGGGTTGTCCCCGGCGAGCCCCGCCATCTCGCCCCGCACCCCACCGCGATTTTGCGCGTGCACACACACGCACGTGCCCCCACGTTCACATTTCCGCGCGCACAAACACTGGCACACCAAGGATGCATGCATGGGCTGCCACGTGCACGCGGGTTCACACACACACGCGCGCGCGCGCGCGCACAGATGTGCGGCGTTTGGCCACCCGCTCCCCTGTACCCAGGTATAATCACGTCAAAGTGGCAGGTCTGCACACCCATCTTTTGTGGCGGGAGGTGCAGATAAGGGTGGGCGCGATGCTCTTGGCTGCTGGACAAACTTGAGGTCGTGTCTGTGTTTCTTTCTGAATCCTCTCCACATCCTTGCCTTCCCGGCCTTTCCCTCGGTCATCTCTCTATGGTGTCTTTTCTGTGCATTCTGCTGTCTTCTGAATCTACTCTGTCTCCGCCCCTACCTGTTCCTTCTGCTGGGGCTCGCTCTATCTACCTTCCCCAACTCTCCCTGCCCCTTCTGCAGCCCTGTTTCGAGCCCGAGTGTGTGCTCAAGAACCAGAGTTCAGCTACGGCTGCGCGGAGGGCAGCTGCTACCCAGCCACTGGCGATCTTCTCATCGGCCGAGCACAGAAGCTTTCGGTGACCTCGACGTGCGGGTTGCATACGCCTGAGCCTTACTGCATCGTCAGCCACCTCCAGGTGAGGGAGGAGAGCCCAGCTGGACGCTCTGCGCGTGCCTCCTCCAGTCCAGACCTAAGAGGCAGGGCCAGGGGACTCTGTATCCTGCCAGCTATCCAGATAGGAAGTGCACGGCCAGCCAGGGACGCCCGGGATTAGGCTAGTAGCTCACCCATTTGTCCCATCTCAGTTTGCACAGTTGCATCTGCCAAACGTTTCCTGCCAGTCATCACAGTTAGTACGGAAAGGCAGGGCTCCAGACAGATCAGGCCCCTGCCCAGTGCTCTGACCCAGGAGCTCCAAAAGTCCTATGTGTGTGTGGTTTCAATCTTTCCCTTTTGAAAGTGTATAAAAAGTGGTTTATCCTTTTTAAAAACAAAACAAAACAAAACAACAATGAGTAGTGATCTTGGGTTTCTTCCCATTTTTTCACTCTGGTGAAGGGTATATGCCAGCACTGACAGACACTTTAAGGTCACTGTAATCACTGAACCCGTTTTTCTCTCATTTGATGCTGTTCTCCCATCTGTCTCTATTAGATATCAGGATAAGGTGCCTTCTTTTTCAAGATGCCCTGGTTGTCACGGTACCCTCATAGATGAAGACCAACATGAAATTTCAGGATGTTTTCTGTTTCTAAAAGTAGAACCAGATTTTAGATTTCAGAAGTCACATTTTTACAAAATCAAAACTAGTTTTAAAAGCCACAAAGTGTAAACTGTCCAGAATCAGAATCCCTTTCCTTGATTTTTTAAAAAGGAGAGTGATATCTCTGGCCTCTAAGGCGAGCAGAAGGTGTTAGTTCCACAGCAGATTCCTTAAAATGGAGTCACTTTGACAAAGAGAACCCATTCTGGAGACCAGATAAATTCAACTAAAGGAAGGTGGTAAAGTGGATTCCACTTATTTGCTTCCAGGTTTATGCAGAGATGTCTAGACGGCTTCCTCCTGATTAGAAGGGAGGCTATAATTAAACTTTTAAAAATAAGTTCTGGTAATTGTTTTTCAGTATTAGTTTCCTTAACTACAAGTTAATGAAGGCAGTTGATGTTACAATTTCTAATATTAGCATGTAAATTTTACCTAACATATTATGCTAACATTTTCCTCAGAGGCCAGGACATCCTATAAATGAATCACCGGATTCTGAAAGCAGCTTTGACCAGAATGAGAATTGGTCTATTTGTGTTGAAATCAAGTAGAGCTGGGCGCTCTGGTTTACATGGCTAACCATGAAATTGTGGAGTGCTCTCCACAGATATCAGAGCCTAAAGGAAGGCACTTTTCTCAGGCATTTGGTGGGTGTACAAAGTGAGTCAGGAAGCTTCCGTATTTTGTCCAGGGTCCCATTTTTTGCATCCCTGACTTCTGGTCTCTGTATTGTAATTAGTACATCTAATTTAGCCAGGCTTTAAATTCTTTTGGAAGGAAGGCGATAACTTATAGCTAACTTAAATAAATACAAATACAGTCAGTTGCTGTTGTCCTTTGCTTAAATGTTGTTGGTAAGATGTTTGTGGGTCTCTGTAGATTTCAATCTTAGCATCATTTTCAGACTTCAGAATAATCTGCATTTCAGAAAACTGAGGTAGAGCGAAGAGCTCCACGTGGAAAAGGGAACTAAGTTATGTTATTTATGATTTGCCATGATGGAGTGCAGAGAGGGTTTTTTGAACTCTCCTGACCCAACTGCCAGGGTGGCTGTGGCCCCATTTTAGGGAGAAGGAAGATGGGAAGAGAGACGTTCAAAGCTACTCTAAAACCCAAAGTATACTTTAATTCCAGTTCAAGTCTATTTTGACATTCTTTGAGTTGGTCCCAGATTACAGTGCTCCCAACACAGTAGGACAGCCTGGCACCCCCTTCCTCAGATACTCTGAGCAGTTTGCAGTTTGCAGTCTGCACACCACCACTCACCACCGCCGATTCTCCACTGGGGCAGAGAAGAAGCTCAGAAATCTTGTTCCCAAAGCTTCATAAATACCTCTGCCTAATACTTGGTTTCTGCCTTATGTAGGTTTTAGAAAATCAGGCCAAAAGAATTTTTTGTTTTGTTTATTTTCTTTTTTTTTTCAGTTTGCTTTATGTCTGCAAAAATTCTCTAATACCTGTTCTGCATTTTACTTTAAGAGTAAGCTTCTCTAGCTATTTATTGAGATTAAGAGATTTCAAAGTGATTAAATTAATAGCTGGTAGAAACAATGCCTTGTACTTTTGACCTTGAATTTGCAAGAGAAGAGGAAATCTCGAGGAGAATTCCATACTCAGTATGTTAAAGTGAAAGTATATGATATGTCATTTAAGTAAGTTTGGCACATTCATTTTTCTCAAAGCAAGTAGGTTTGATTTGTGTGTGTGTGTGTGTGTGTGTGTGTGTGATTGTTTCCTAGACTCATGAAATTAACTTTGTTTTCAGGAGGACAAAAAATGCTTCATATGCAATTCACAAGACCCTTATCATGAGACCCTCAATCCTGACAGTCATCTCATTGAAAATGTGGTTACTACATTTGCTCCAAACCGCCTTAAGATTTGGTGGCAATCTGAAAATGGTATGTGGTTGGTGTGGAAACAAGTTGGTGGAGTGTGATTGGTCACTTGGAATGGGTTTATAGGCTCCTGGGTGTTTGTAATTACGATTGGTTCCTCGGTCCTGTAACCATGGCCTTTGACAGATTTACTGCCTAAAGCGCTAACCGCTTTTGGTAAAACCTGATTCTTCTTCCTGAAGCATGCACTTCCTATAAGAAAGCAGTCTTTCTTGCTAGACCACAGTATTTTGTAGTCCTCATTCTGACGGGGGCTTTGGGGAGTGTGTGTATGTGCTGGGGAGTGCGTGGGAAGGCCCTGTACTACCTCAGGCTCTTAGTCTTCCATAAAACATAGCATCTCTCATTTTGATGAACCTCAAATGAAAGGGCAGAATCAGCCCCCACCACTATCAACATCTTCCTTTTACCTAAAGAAAATGGAATAGACTATGAATAAACACTAGGTGTGATTTTTTTTTCAAAGACACTTTCAACATGGATATGACCCCAAGTCAGTTTCCCCAGTGA